GTGATGAGAGTTGTGTTTCCTTTCGTATCCCAACGTCCTCCTCATCCCCCATGGAAGCTCAACAACAATTTGCTAACCGCCAGCAACATGGAAGAACTGCAAAGGAAGTGGACGTACTGGAAAAGGACGAGGCAGAATTATCGATCGTGGGTCGACTGGTGGGTGGACTTCGCCAAGGGAAAGCTGGTTTCATTCTTCAAGTGGAAGCATAATCAGTTCTTTACTGGTTACAACAACACCTTGGGATTCTACTACTCGTGTTTGAATCGAGCATATACTACACACTTAGAGAACGACAACACGGCAGAAATAAACCGGATCAAAGCAGTGATGTTACGCAAGCAAAAGGAATTCAACGGTTTCTTCAGGAAGGAGTCAATTCGTCATCTACCGGATGAAGAGGTTTCAACTTTCCAAATCGATGATCATCGTAAACGCCAGGCAGGAGCAAAAATAGAAAATTTAGAGATCAACGGGAGAATACTCAATGATCCCAATGATATCGAAACAGCTGTTTACGAGCACTATCGGTCTCTATTCACGGGTGAAGAAGTGGAAAACCGAGACACCTTCCATCCTACAAGAGCAGTCCCCCAAAACAACGAAGCCAACAACAGAATAATGGACCGGATTACTGAGGACGAAATCTACGATGCCATCAGATTCTCTGTTCCTCACAAGACACCCGGGAAGGATGGATTGACCAGAGAATTTTTCATGAAGTTATGGGACACAATCAAAACAGAAATAGTGGAAATTATCAATGAAATGATGAATGGCTTAATACGTCCAGAACAATTAGAAGGAATCATCGTACTAGTTCACAAAAAAGGAGGAAACAACTCGATCAGTTCTTACCGTCCAATATCACTGCTGAACGTGGAATACAAGATTTTGAGTCGAGTTTTGAAAGAAAGGCTTAATAAAGTAGTGTCATTGGTTCTTTCCAACGAACAAAAATGCAGCAACGGGAAAAGGAACATTTTCGAAGCAACCTGCTTGATTCGGGATGAGATTGGACACTCCCACCGCACGAGACAGAATGGACTAGTCATGGCTTGTGATCTTAGCAGCGCATTTGACCGGGTAAACTACGACTTTCTGGCAAAAACTTTACGGGAAATGAACATCAACAGCGATTTCGTGAATCTTATGTCGACTATTATGAGACACTCCAAATCACAGCTAGTTGTCAATGGGAGGTTAACAGAATTTTTCGACATCAACTGTTCAGTTCGCCAAGGAGACCCATTAAGTATGACTCTGTTTGTAGTGTACTTACAACCCCTAGTAGATCAGCTTTCACAAATATGCAACGATACAGGTGAGTCCATCACCGCCTATGCTGATGACATAACTATCATCATCAAACACACTGGCAAAACACAGTTAGTGATAGACTGCTTTCGTCAGTTTGGGGAAGTATCTGGAGCACGTCTAAATCTTCAGAAAACAGTTGGCCTGAAACTAGGAGCAGGAATTCCTTCACCAGAGGAGCTTATCATCAGTGAACAAGTGAAAATTCTTGGAGTCCTCTATAAAACTACAATCGAACACACAGTTGCAGTTAACTGGGCGAAGTTAAAACGGAGCGTAACTTCATTATTATGGATAAATCGTGCCAGGCTTCTGAACATTAAACAGCGGACTTGGCTCATTAACACGTACATCTGCTCCAAATTGTGGTATATTGCTTCTATCCTGCCACTACCATTAAGTATTGGAAAGTTTCTGAAACAGCAAATCACCAAATTTATTTGGATAGGAGTACCACATAGAGTTAGGTATGAACAAATAATTAAAACTAAAGCCAAGGGTGGCCTTGGTCTTCACTACCCGATCAGGAAATCTAAATCTCTTATGGCCAATCGATTTCAACAGACGAAGGAGGTGCTTCTATATCAACAGGACTACGCTAATAGAGTACGGAGACGCAGAGTCCTAAGAACAATTCCAGAAGAAATGTCACATTTTAAGGAGATCATCGCAGAAGTGCTCAAGCTACTAAGTCGAATAACTGAGGAGTCAACAGCACACAAAATCTATGCTCACAATCTAGATTTACTTCCGGAAAATAGAATCGAGAGCTCGGTACAGCGGGATTGGGAGAGAGTATGGAAAAATGTCAATCATAAAGCTCTCACTTCGGAAGAAAAAGCTGTATACTACTTGCTTTGCAATGACAAATTGGATCATAATTTTTTGCGGTTTAGAGAAAATCGCATAGCAACACCGGCATGCGATGTGTGCCAAGCTGAGGAAACAATAAGACACAAGTTTTCGACGTGCCCAACTGTAGAATCCTTGTGGAGACGAATAACTGTGCAAATTGAATCCATAGGAATAAGGAGAAATCAACTATTCAAAACACTACAATTTCCGGAGCTGCGAGGAGTAAATCCTCGTACCTTAAGCAGAACCTTAAAATTATTTGTCAGATACATTATATTTGTAAGTGAAACTCCAATCGAAAACCTTAATGTACAAAATTTAGATTTCTACATGACTATGTATAATTAATTTTAATAAAGACAAAGAGGATTAAAAAAAAAAAAATCTAGCTCGGTAAAATCTCCAACAGCCGATTACCTCGGCATTTGCTTTTTCTGATATCTCTGCAAAATATCTGTTTGTTAGCTGATATCTCAGCAAAATGTTATTGTTAGCTGAGTCTCGGCAATTGTTTTACTGAATCTCAGGCACATTAATTGCAGAAATACTCGGCTGTTGGAATCTCGGCGAAAAAATTTAAGTGTGAACATTGCATTACGTCCTAAGTAACATTGATCGATTCTCTTCGTCGACTTTCTCTTCCGTTATTAACATGAGCACATTATCGTTTCATGTTGTGTTTGTCGTATGAGATGCAAAATAAAAACTTCTTTTGTTGATCTGTGTGCTGAAAATACCTTGGAATTTTATATGGCCGTGGAGATACAAAGAGAAAGTCGACGAAGAGCATATGTCAATGTTACTTAGAACCTAATGCAATGTTCAGCTTGAATTAGCTTTAGGCTGTGTTCCATTTGGCGAATTTTCACTTAAACTTGACAGATGGAAAATTTCCAAATTAACCTGCTATTCCAGCAGACTTATATCTGACAGACAAGGAATCAATTTTGACACACACCTTCTCGAAAATTGGCCGATCAACAACAGAGGGATTTTCGAACATTATAATTTAGTTTCGAAGTGTCAAATTTAAGTGAAAATTCACCAAATGGACCACAGCCTTAGAATTAGAAATATCCAGCTTTCCATGCTCGGTAATGGCGGCCTGTTTGTATGAATAAATGTATCCTTAACTGTGCTTTTTGACACTATCTGGATGTTCGAATTTCAATCCCTTCCCTTTCCCTCTCCCAGGAACAGAAGAAAATGGAACAACATACGCCCTCCAGTTAGTGTCAAAAAGCACAGTGAAGGATACATTTATTCATACAAACAGGCCGCCATTACCGAGCATGGAAAGCTGGATTGATTTCGACACGCCATTCCCCCCCCTCCCCCCGCTCACAAAGGTTTCAAGTATCGGGAAAGCCTTCTTCAGACGACCTACCGATAACTACCGATAAAAGTTTTGAGAGGCTACCGATAATGAAAAAAATAATCTGGCCACACTGCTTATACAGAGAAAACAAACGTTGACATTTCAATTCTTTTTCATCAACTTTCCTCTACACGCTAACTTGAAAGTACTCATTAATGAGTAAAAAAAGACCCATTTTGAAGAAAAGTGGCTTAACTCATTAATGATTAAACAATTTTACCCATTAATGAGTATCTGTTACCCATTAATGATTAACAATTACTCATTAATGGGTAACAGATACTCATTAATGGGTAAAAAATTTACTCATTTAATGAGTTAAGCCACTTTTCTTCAAAATGGGTCTTTTTCAACCATTAATGGGTACTTTCAAGTTAGCGTGTAATCGTTCGCTGGCTGGCTACCGCTTATCTACACTCGTAGTTTGTAGCGTAGTAGTTATGTTACCTTATTTTTTCCGTACTCAACCGTAAAACTCCTTCTCGGCTCAGTGAGCCTAACGACCGACCGCACGCTGCTGGAGGAGTAACTGGGTGAGTGAAGTGAGAATATGTGTAGGTAACGTGTAACGTGAATGTATAGCCAGCAGTAGCCCTAAGCTAGTGGTTTTCCTACCGGAGCCAGTTGTTTGTGTTTTTAGCGGCTATTTTTCTTCGCCTTCATTAAATTAGTTTAAAATGTTTTGATGTTAAAAATATTGCTGAGCCGGAGGTTTGTGCATCCTTCGGTCCGTACTCATTTCAACTCATACGCGCACGTGCTCGCTCCACTGCACAGTGTTGATTCAGGAGCAGCGGCATTGTTGTTTTCCCTTCGCTCTAAATTGTGAGAGTGGCGTCATGAGACTGGTTCAACATGTGGTTTTGTACAAATAATTAAAATTTATTATGAATTGACATCCACAACTCGACAAAGAAAAAACATCTACTCATAGAAATTACCATTTGCAGCATAGAAATTCAATGTAATTCTTCTATTCGACTGTACATTCCAAATGCTGTTGACTGCCCTTTTCAGCATAGCTGTCACATTCGTTAAAACAGCAAGCTGAGAAAAATGTTGTTGAAGAATTTATTCTCTATGGGTTCTCATGGATGGGACAACGAAGCTTTGTTATTTTTCGCGACATTTTCTGAACAAAATAGGAAACTTTTCGTGTACATTGTAGAGCGGTGGTACTAAACAATCGTTTCCAATGTATAACTCATTTTCGCCAAAAATGCTAATGGGACTGTTATGCCAAAAACTGTTGAATTTTTAAGTACGCAACAATCCAGCCGCAGCTCACAGAAATTTTACAAACCAGTCTACAGCAAGAGAGCAACACCAAACCAACCGGTGTGGGAGAGAAAACTCCTTCGGAAAACCATATGGCACCGGGCCTCTCCGTTTGTTCGAGTAATAAAGTAGTTACTACCTCCCACTTGGGACTCGGTTCGTCGGTCGGTTGGGCCAGTCGTTTTCCTTCGTTCGAGTTAGATTGAACGTCCGCAGGTTTTCCCGCGCCGCTTTGAGTCATCGGCTAGAAGATAGTGCCGAAATTTGTCACGCGCGTGCTATTTCACCACCGTTACATACCGGAACACGTGTGTTTCCATTGCTGGATATCGTCTTACCTGTCTGTAGGTGTGTTCTTTGGACTTGATTGTAAGGGATAAGAAAAGTGCACCTGGTGGCGCTCGTCGAAGCGTGGAAAATTACATTGCTGTCGCCTCCTGGCCACTAGTACTGCGAGTGTAGGTGTGCGATTTCAGTGTATAAGAAGAATGCTACTTTTGTTGGTGCCTCTGGCGCTGTGGCCTGTGCTAGCAGATGAGATAAAAGTGTAAATAAACGATTTTGTGGCGATAAATTTTCGCGAAAAATTGGAATGACAGCGGCAAGTGTGCGATCGTTGCCGCTAGCGCTGGGTCTACTGTCGGGTGAATCGGAATGTGGATTTCTGCTGGTGATGCAACTAGTATTTTTGATGATTTTGGGATATTTGCACGAATCAAAAAACGGTTATACGTTGTATTTGCAGAAAATCGAAGCTTGACTAATTTAATTGGAATCTTTGGAATTGGAATGTTTCAATCATTAAGATTTTTCTTGTATTAATTCCCAAGCGCTTCATTCCATTAAAAAAAATGCTTACTTTCGCATATTTTTCAAGTTCCAGAAAATTTCTTAATGTTGGTTCAGAAATTTTCTTAGGTTTAATCTTTGTTTCTTTTTGTCGAAATCATATTCCATAATCTATTTCGTGTACGAAATAGTGGACATTCTTCCATGCAAGTTGGATGATTATACGTTCCCAGAAATGTTCCCGAAACATGTTTTGCTGCAATTTAGTTCATATTCGACTTCATGATTCATACAGCCTAGTCAGTTAAGACATGGTATAACATGGTATATGCTTCCTTAGCTCAGTCGGTAAATGTGCAGCTACAAAGCAAGACCATGCTGGAGGTAACTGGGTTCGATTGCCGGTACGGTCTAGGAATTTTTCGGGTTGGAACATTTCTCGACATCCCTGGGCATCGTACTTGTCACACAATCATGCTAATGCAAAAATGGTGCAGGCATCGAAAGCTCTCAATTGATAACTTTGGAAGTGCATCTAGATAACGGCGCCGGTGGTGTAGTGGTAAGCGTGATTACCTCTCACCCCAGCAGGCCTGGGTTCAATCCCAGTCGGCGCCGCCGGGATGTTCTGAGGCATAACATCTCTGATCACGCCTTCCTTCGGATGGGAAGTAAAGCCGTTGGTCCCCGGTTCATGAGTTGATGTGTCGATAGGTAGGGTCCAGGTGTGGGAGCTGCCTTCCTGGCACGTCGGTAGCATTAGTGCTCAGCACGGAAAACAAGATCGACGGAAAAAACAAACCAAAGGAAAAAAAAAAAAAAAAGTGCATCTAGAACACTAAGTTGAGATCACGCAATAAACTAATATGCGATAACCAATAAGCTTGAAATGCGAAGAAGCAGCAAGTTTGAATCTGGGCATATTTAACGCACAATGATACGTATACAATATACAAATTCATAAGTTGGTTGGCATAGAACTATCTCAATTAATAACTATGGAAGTGCTTCAAAAAACTCTAAGTTGAGAGCCAGCAATGAAAACAGGAAGAAGAATAAATTTTACTCATATGTAAAATTTTCCGGGATTACCCGAACTTCACCAATTAAATCATTTGAATAGAAAATTGAGAAGGGTTTTAATTTCGTTCAATTCCAATGTACAAATTCAATGCCATTTTAGTGTCTTACATTTAGCCATTTGGACATGATCCCTATTAAATGTGTGGGATTTCCTAGAGTAATATTTATCTATTGAAAAATATTATCACATTTTTGAAAAATTCACGTGATATACCTTTGGATCGCTCTTTGGAGCATGGTTCATTTTTTTAATGCAGATAGCTATTTTTAAAATAGATAGAATAATGCTATTATGCTCCCGATCAAACGTTACAATTGTTGCACCTTAGAGCCACAATCGTATGTTTTCACTGAAGGTGAACCCTAGTAAATCTTCAATGAAAACGTGGAGTGTACTTAAACGGTGACAAATTGTTGAAGTTTGATTGGGAAAATACTAGCATTAATTTATCTACTTTAAGATGGATTTACTGAGAGTTTAGCTAGGCTTAACCTTAGTTTTCTATTTTTTAAAGTAATTTAAGCTGCTCCGAACAGTGTCAAGGCACCTTATATTATTTAATTTAAATGAAGTATAATCATCTCTGACCCGCCGAGGCACGGTCGTTCATTGTAGCAGGCTAATGCCACGTGTATCGAGGTGTTTCCTGAAATACCATGTGGCATAGGGTGGAGTATTACTCCGGGATATGGAACATATTTCAGTCATACGCGTCAAAAGACAATGTAGACCAGCAACTACATCCAACATAATTGCATCAAATGCTTTACTCACGAGTTAAATTACGAATGCTGTTTAAAAATGTACGCCGCTGTTGGAAGACTGATTTGTTGATGTGAAGAAAAGTTATACCGTTGTTGGTAAAGTAATAAATACTTCCATTCAGATGATTTGTTGTAGCACAACTGACAACCGCAAGAGGACTAATGTAGTCAGACTATTCTGTTAAATTTAAAATGATATTTATCGAGATCATAATTATGCTACTTTTAATTTTTACAAAGCAATCTAAATTGAAACAAAATTTAATTATTTCATTTAAATTTCTTGGAAAAGTTGAAGTGTTTTCCAGAAGAAATTTATTTTGGTGTAACCAAAAAAGGAAGGTCTGAGACTTCACGAACAGGAGAAAGTCATTAGAGGCAAAAAAAGTAGAAGGGTCTGTGCCTAGGGGCACGAACGGAAGCTTAACGTAGGACCACTAGTGGACGGAACAAATGTGAACATTTAGTTCTTTTAATTGATCAATCATCAATTATCTTAACTCTTTCCGTTTTTTATTTTTTTTATTTGTAAGCGTATCAAATTTGTAGTATTTATTTCAAAGAGAAAGTTGATGAAGAGAACTCAAGGGACTCTCAACTTAAGTATTTTCGATTCATCTACCCGACTTTAAAAGGTGTATTTTGAATGTTTTGTTATTTATGAATTTTTAAGTTTTGTGCATTTTGGTATTAAAGTGTATTCAATTCAACCCTCACAGGATTTCCTTCCGAATTATATGAATGAGACGAGGCGGAAAGTATCATTTGTGCAGAATATCACCTCTATTCCCGTTTTCGTTCGAATCGTTCGTTTGTACGAACGAGTCGATTCGAACGAGTTCGAAAACGACATTCTGGTTTTCGTACGAACCCGTTCGAACCAGGGGTTTGACATATAGGTGAATACACGTACTCAACATCACAACAACAAAACATATCATGGTACCGCTGATAACGTTGCAGATGTTCGGTACGCAGCAAACTTAAGCGATATGACAGCCATATCCATCCCCTGGTTCGAACGCAAGCTTTTTCGAAAATAAACAGTGTTAGTGGTACCAGATGCACTTTGACATTTCTTAACAATTCGAAGCATAGACCGCGCACGAAATTGACATTATTCGGTCAAGTGGACTGTCAAACGATGTCAACAAAACAATAACATTGTTGAAATTTTTTGATTTAAAATTTGAAAATCTCACTGATTTGAAAAGATAACTTCCTGATGTCTTCTGAGAAGTTGTTAAGCCGAAAGTTGGCCATCTTTTGGGACGATTCAGTTTCCGGTAGGATACAAGTCTGATCATGTGGATGATCCGGAATATCCGTAAAAGTGGTCAATTCATGAAACTGATCCTAGAACTCCGCGTTTTTTAGAAACCACTCATAAACGTCTTATCAGAATGAATTCGGTGTTGTGACCGGAATATGGACACTGGGGACTACAGGATGGTCCACTAAAAGAACCGGAACATCCGTAAAAGTGGTCAATTCATGAAACTGATCCTAGAGCTCCGCGGTTTTTTCAAAACCACTCATAAACGTCTTATCAGAATGAATTCGGAGTTGTGACTGGAATATGGACCCTGCGGACCACGAGATGGTTCACCGGAAGATCCGGAACATCAGAAAAGTGGTCAATTCATGAAACTGATCCTAGAGCTCCGTGGATTTTTCAAACCACTTATAGACGTCTTATCAGAATGTATTCGGAGTTGTGACCTTAATTTGGACTCTGGGGACTACATGATGGTCCACCGGAAGATCCGGAACATCCGTAAAAGTGGTCAATTCATTAAACTGATCCTAGAGCTCTACGAATTTTTCGGAACCACTCATAAACGTCTTGTCGGAATGTATTCGGAGTTGTGTTCAGAAATAAGAATATGGAGACTACAGAATGGTCCACCGGAAGATCCGGAACATCCCTTAAAGTGCTCAATTCATGAAATTGATCCTTGAGCTCCACGATTTTTTAGAAAGCACTCTTAGACATCTTATCACAATAAAACCGGAGTTTTGACCAGACAGTTTATACTGGGGACCACGGGATGGTCCATTAAAAGATCCGGAAGATCATCAAAAATTCCGTTAAGAGTGTCTAGAAGTTATTAATTACTTAAATACCACCTAGAAATCATCCATGATAATAAATAAAAAAATGTGTCTATGAGCAGTTCTAAAAAACCATAGAGTGCTTAGATCAGTTTTCTTGACCTATCCACTTTAATGGATGTTCCGGATATTCCGAAGGACCATCCAATGGACCCTGGGGTCCATTTTCCAGTCACAACTCCGAGTTCATTCTGATGAGTTGTCTATTATTTTCCAGAGGAGCGTTCATGGTCTCCAGGGTCTGTTTTCCAATCATAACTCAGAATTCATAATTATAAGACGTCTATGAGAGTTTACGAAAAAACGGAGTTCTTGGATCAGTTCCATCGATTGAGCCTTTTTACGGATGTTTCGGATCTTTCGGAGGACCATCCACTGCACAATGGTCCCAAAGCCGTATTTAGGAAGACAAAAATGTTTGCGCCCAAACCGTCAGCTTTAGGTATATAGTGTCTTCGGGAAAGTTTCTTCATATTGTTTGGCCGATCTTTTTATGTTAGTGAAATTAGGGTGGTCCACAAAATTGGAGCTTTGAAAATATATACTTTTTTTTAATTATTTGAGATAGACCAATGCAATTTTCTAAAACTTGTAGAGCAATCAATTCGAAGCAATTT